TGCGCAGTAGTGCAGAATTCCCCCAGGAGTAATATTCAGACCCCTTTTTCCATTTATTAATACTTGCATCCAACAAAGTCCATTTCTCTATTAAGGGCCAACACAGAAGGCGTTTTAGTTTTAATTAAAGTACTAGGAGGCCAAGACAAGCAGTTCAGTTCAGAACTGAACTTGGCCTCCTAGTACTTTAATTATTTGAATTACTCAATTAATTATGCTAATTAATTTGATTAATTACTTGAATTACGTACTGCTTATGTATTCGTAAGTTATCAGTGACAATTTTCAATTAAACAAATCCTCCTGACATTTAAAAATGAATGGAAGGAGGTTCTCCCCAGGGGAGCTGTCTGGTATGATTGCAGGGTGCAGAAGCATTCCTTTTCAAGCAGACCCACTGGACTGTTTAGCCAGTCAAGAGATCTGATTGGCTTTGAACATTCCAAAGTGCTTTATGACCTTGGCATGCAGGTCACATAGATGTCGATCTAACTGCTGAGCTAATTTCCCCTGGGAGCTGTTGAGGACGTACTGCGGGAGTTGGGTATTTTGTAATGACACATTTACAAATTCTGTCTGGCGTGGATAGAGCAAGGGCAAGGTGCTCATTTTTATTGTTTGTTTTAAATAAATGAAACTCGATAAGGGGGCAGTGAAGGAGGCTTATTCTGGCTCTTTTCTCTCCAGGAAGATTAAAATATGTAAATTGCTCGGCTGCTTCTGAGGTGCTGCTAAATGTGGTGATTGGAGGGCATGGCCTGTTTTACACCAATTAAGCCAATGGATTAGTTGTGTGAGCATGCAGGCTGAGGAGTCGGTGTGGCCTAGTGGATAGAACTCTGGATACTGACTCAGGAGACCTGGATTCTCTTCCGGGCCACGGACCTGCTCTGTTATGATAAGACTTGGGCTCCTCATTTCATGTGTGGATTGTAAACACTTTAGGGCAGTGGCTTATTTGCCAAATTACTGTGTGGTCATCAAGAAAACCTTTTCCCAATTGTTTGTTCTCTTTTATGTTTTGTCCGCAGCAAAACAGAGCAGACATCTACTGTGTCCTGGAGAAAGTGTTACAGCAGGACACCGGGGGCCTAGAGAGAAGGCTACTGAAGAAAATAATAACCCTGGCCTCCAACCATATGAGAGAGACTGAGGTAAGTTAGTTCTCCCGAGATACTAATCAAAGGATCCAAAGCTTTAACTAATTAAAACTCTCTTTTTGAGGGGGTAAACTATATACTGAAATGAAAATATATTCTCCTGTTAGAGGCCCACACCTTCCTCCAGACCAAAGCCGAGGTCCTAGACAGCACTTGCGCACGTGCATAGGATGGGAGAACTCACATGCGAAAGTTACACATGTGCTTAAGTGCTTTGCAGGATCAGGACCCGAGACACATGATATCAGACACAGAGACAGGCCTATGGTTTCTTAACGAGCAAGTCTTTCCCAAAGTCTACTAGGGATTTCATTATTGATCCTGATGTTATGTGGAAGGCGCTCTGATACTATAGTGATAAGTGGCAGTATAAAGCCCCAAGACAGACAGAATCTGAGCTATCTCCAAAAGAAGCAGCATTGGATTTAGAATACAGTTTGCCAGCAGGAAAACCCATGGAAAAATCCCTCTCTTGTGCCAAAGGAAGTCAGCCTCCTTTTGGGGGACAGTTTATTCCAGGAAAGCTCTCTGAATATCTTGAAGCTGCCCAGTCTGTCTCTCACTACCTCCTCAGGGAAGGGCAGGGAAAAATGTCATGTGACTACGGTGACCAATCATCCACCACAAGTAGCTAATAGTAAATAGTCTAACTAAGCAGCTTGCAAGGAACTCAAAGGCTGAAAATTGTTTAGCCAAATGACTCGATGAATATTTATGACTAATGACTCTAGCCACAGAAAGTTGGGAGGGTTCATTCACAACTTATGCACAGAAATAAGGACTTGACTCATATAAATAACTCTGGCTAGTGCAACCGGCTTCAGTCACCTCAGTCTGTCTGTCTGTCTGTCTGTCTCTCTCTCTTTTTTAGGAAGCAACAAATGAACTAAAAGTGGCAGCTAGCAACACCTTAGTGACCCTGGCACGCTGCTATTTCTATGAGGTGATGTACGAGCTGCAGTGTCATCTGAAATCACAGGAGCTGCCTGAAGAGTTTATTTTCATTACGTTGGGCAACCTGTCATCAGCCTATGGTATGGTAACTTCCATCTTTTGTTTCAAAGTTATCGTCTTTCATTTAAGGACAGGGGATTACTCTCTCTACCTAAAAATGTTACAGCTAAACAGAGCTCTGTTTGCGTGTGTGCATGCGGGGGGGTGTGGGGAGAGACACAAGATTAACTGCTGTTGCTAGTTCTTGGCTTCCAGATCATGAGCTATCCAGACGGAGGTGCAAGCTCTTATGCCCCTGACTGAAGTTCCTTGAGGATGGGAATGAGTGGAAGATCAGGTTTAGTGGAGCTCTTCTCCACCCCACTTCCCATCCTGCCCCAGTGCTCTCTCCCCTTACTCTGGGAGTGAGTTGGGCATCGGGCACAGTTTTACACTGGTGGCGGATTCCCCTCTTCAGGGTGAATCCCTCACTGGCTTTCAATGGCTGCTTTAAAGCCATTCTGCTCTGCTTACGCAGCACAAAATGGCCTAGGAGCCCATAGCATCCTGCCCCACGGTGTTTCTAAGTGTGTTGTAAGAAGGCAGAGAGCAGCTGATTATCTGTCTTCCTTCTCTTCTGGCCTTTCTCTGCAGCACTTGAGTGTATCCCTTATGTGGAAACTACCCTGAACTCCATGGTCTCCATGTTGGGGTCAGTCAATGACAGCAGGCTGAGACAAGCATTTTGTGGTGGTAAGTGCAGCACCTACTGTAGGTGCCCAAAATGGATATTTAGGGGGTCTTGGTACAGATTTAAGTGACTGGCCAAGTTTGCAAACAGGCCCCAAACTGTGCTCCCTGCCCTGGATTGCGCCAGGTGCTGCGTTCCTTGGCTGCCGTGGCACTCAGTGAAGTTGAGAGTGCTCCGTACTTTGCAGGAGGCGCTGAGCATTTGTAAGTTCAGGCCCTTTATGACTCACGGATATAATTTAAAATAAACAGACACAAAGGCTGTGTAGTAAACTTTAGGCCTGAGTGTGTTCACTGATAAAGCAACTTCTCATTACTAATATGTCCTTTTCACATTGCCTGTCTTCTCTCCTTCCATGCAGTTCTGGAAAAATGGTCAATGGCAGTCCATCTGTATTTGACTAACTGGGAAAAGTACCCATTCCCCAGAATGGGTGCATCGCGATTCTGCGATCTAATTCTGCCTTTACAATGTCATGTGACCAGCAACTGGCTGAAATGTGAAGAGCTGGAGGTGAGAATTGCTGGCTTTCTAAACCTTTAGCAGAAATTGTAATGTTAAATTCTATGTGTCTGTCACTCTTTGTGATGATGGCATTTAATGGTAGGTCCTTTTGGATGGAACAGAGTGTCATGTAAAACATCTAAAACTCATATATTTATAATCTGTCTGTACACCGTGTACATGGATTCTAGGTGCATAAAACTAATGTGCAGATGAACACGGGATAGTGGGCTAAATTAATTCCTGGTATAAGTCCATTCAGCCCCAGTGGAGTTACAGCAGTTTTGAGTTGGCCCAGAATGCCTACTAATCTGGGGAATATTTTACCTGGTATAGTTGTGAGGTGCATTAGAATATAATCCTGAAACCAACCCTACGAGTCCCAGTTCTTTAACAGGAAATATTGAGATAGGGCCGTTCCTACAGTGGAACAAGGGAAGTTGCACTCATTAGAAGTAGAAAAGGTGTGCCCATTGGATGATATTGAATGAATTCTTAGGAACATAAATTCTGTGTCTCATCTATGCAGCTCAAGCAGGCCATCATCAAAGCCCTTGGTCCCATGATGAGCCTCCTGCTACACAAAAAGGAGCATCAAAATCGGATATTTGAACTGATCTCATGGCTCCTTGAGCAATATAAGGAGGACATTGATGTTTTTCACGTCATCAAGGTGAGGTACCACTTGTTAAGGTCTATGTGTGTGCATGTATGAACTGCACGAGGAATTTGCTGCCAGTGGGGTTTCCTGGTCTAGACAGTGACTTGTTAGATAATAAATATCCACACGAGTTCTGGGTTTATACACATGGTGACCCAGGCAACAAGATTTGTAGGTAAATGCCTCTTATGAAAAGCATCCTCTGTTTCCTGGGGAGGATGATAAGGAGATGATAAACAAAACACCTGCCCCACTCCCCAACAAGATACTCCCTCCTTGTGATTTCCCAGTACATCCTGTCAACTCTGTGTCAGAGCAGGGGCTGCCATATGTTGTCTCTGGTCAGTACCAAGCCAACTGTCAATGGTTGAAAATTAATACTAAGGAGGCTTGAGGGTGATTTCTTTGGATTATGTAACTAGATCAATAGAAAAGCATTGCCTGTCTATTTCATCTACCGTTCTATGCAGTGCTGTTGTAGCCATGTTGGGCCCAAGATATTAGAGCGACAAGGTGGGTGAGATAATCTAATTAAAGATATTGTCTCACTCCCCTCGTCTCTCTATTTCATCTACCCTTAGTACCACATGAGCAAGAAGTAAGGGGCCATATTCTGTCTTCAGTGGGGCTACACAGTTGTAAATGAAGTCATGAGACAGCTATAACTTCTTGGTAGTGATATTTACTCACCATCGCTGTTGGTTGAAGCTTTCTGGTACAGAGTATGTGGTCACTTTTGGGGTTGAAATACCCATGATTTGGAGGGAACCAATGCATCATGGACTTGTTTGATAGCATCAGGGCACTACACAACTGCTTAAACATAGTCAAATATGTAGATGGCATCAGAGACATTCTGGAAGCTTCAAGCAGCAAAGGAGAAAAGTGTTTAGATGCAGGAAGGATTTAGATTTTCACCTTTTTTATCAATCAGCTGGCAGAGGACATAAAATCATCACTGGTAAAGTTGGCAGATGAGATAAAAATTGGGGAGTGGTAAATAACGGAGAGGACAGCTCACTGATTCAGAGTGATCTAGATCACTTGGTAAACTTCTAAAAGCTCTGCTCTGGGAATTATTCTGGGCAAGGTCTATGGCTAGTGTTATACCGGAGGTCAGACTAGATGATGGGAATAATCCGTTCCAGCCTTGGAATCTAGGAATCCCCTGAAGCTGCTTCAGTCACTACATATTGCTCCTTTGTGTGCCCACCATCTGACTTTCACCCTCTGTTGCAGAGTCTGAGCCAGCTCTTGAAGGTCTCTTTTGAATATAAGATCCCTCTACCTAAAGGGAAGTTTCAAGCCATCTGCAGTGCTCTGCACAACCAGGTGAGAGGTGGTTTTGCTTGGATCCCTTGAGCTTAGGCACAGCAGATCTGAAGCATATTAACAATCAAAATCTATCGAATGATAGTGCAGAGCCTGGGGACCTCCTCATGCCTTACTGATTTCTGCAGGCTCAAGAGTAAGCAGGTAGCGGTCTCATTTTCTTAGCTAATATCCAGCTCAGTTTGTAAAGCAATTTCACCATAAGCCTATTATCAGGGGGAGTCAGAGTTGTATAGTAAAAACTGTGGCTGTGTCTTGATTAGATCAGCTCTGCTGCTCAAAACCCTTTAGCTTCTCTTATCTAATGTATTGGTCATTGTGTTTGATTCTTGCTGTGCATTCAGTACCATCTACCTGGGGTTCAGACCTCTATTTGGACAAGTAGGAAGTGGAAGCTTAGAAATTAATTGAACGTTTTCTTTTCAATTGCTTCTGATTAGTTTTTCTTTGGCCATTTCCCTTCTTCCCACAGATCTGTTCTCAAGCTAAGCCGCTCAGCACGGAAAATCACGCAGAGCTGTTCGATTGTGTAGTTCTGCTAGGTAAGGGGAAGAGACTCTGAGTTACACAGTGGTTTCCTTGTAACTTCCTTTGTCAGGTATGGTAAGAATAAGAGTTCTGTTGTCAGTGAGGACGTGATTTGTTCCCTTGCAGCCCGTTCTTCTCCTGATGATCTGATAGCATTTCTGCACTCGCAGCTGGAGATTGAGAATGAGGATGTTCGTGTGGCCTCTTTGAATCTGCTCAGTGCTATTGTTGGTGCCGACTGTAAGTAACACAGGAGCAACTGTGCCAGCTGCCCTCTTGGCCGACATGCTGAGGGTTGAGTTGGGGACATCCGGAGCAGGGCCGGCTTTAGGAAGTGCGGGGTCTGATTCGTGGGGCTTGTACTCACCGGGCGGCGCTCCGAGTTTTTGGCGGCGGGTCCTTCACGTGCTCCGAGTCTTCGGCGGCACTTCGGCGGCGGCTCCTTCATGTGCCGCCGAAGAGCCGGAGGGAGTGAAGGACCCGCCGCTGAAGTGCCGCCAAAGACCCGGAGCGCCGCCGGGTGAGTAAAAATTAAAAAGGCCACTGGGCACGGGGCCCTGTTAGGCGCGGGGTGAGGGGCACTCTTAGGCACGGGGCCCAATTCGGGAGAATCGGGGGAATCGGCCTAAAGCCGGCCCTGATCCAGAGCTAAAAGCATGAGCTACTATAGATTGAGCTAAAGAACCAAGGCTTTGTAGGCACGGCAGGGCTGTAACAGACTCATCGCCTCTGCAAATGGGGCACAGAGTCTCATTAACACACAGTCACCAGTGGTTTGGATATCCACTAAGGGACCAAATGCTGCCCTAAGTTACCCCCGTATGGCCACCCAGAAATCAACAGGTTCAACTAAATGCTGAATGTAGCCCAAGATATTTTTCAACTTCAAATACAGAAGTTAACTTGGGGCTAATGCATGTTAACAATAATCAGATAAAAATAAAATAGGACTCCTGACTTGATATTTGTCAGTATTATACACTATAGATTAGATTCTGAGTTCTGTTATACTGGTGTAAACACAGATTAACTTCAGTGACCTCAGTTTATCTAACTTTTTTATAAGATTTCCATCATGGTAGTATGATGGCACTCGTTATAGAAATGGAATTACTTTAGATTTACACTGGTGTAACTGAGACCAGAGTCTGGTCCTATGTTTTTCCCACTGATTCTGTAGATGAGAGAAGCTCGGTACTATTCTTAAATAGGGCCCTTTGAAATCCAGGATTAATTCCAATGTGGAAAGTGAGTGAGTGGAACAAAGAAGTACTGTACACCTCTCCTTATCTTTCAGTGCCCGAGACAAGAGTTAAAAAGTTTCGGATGGTGAAGGCAGTGAAATCCACTCTCAGTGATCAGAATGCTAAGGTAAGATTGTGTGTGGAGCAGTGAAATATTTCAGTTTTTTTCAATGATACGGGATGAATGGATGGATACGGATCTGGGTGGAGCTTTCATTCAGATCCAGGGGAGAGACTGCAGACTAGAGAAGGCATGTCATTCTCCTGCCTGTGTTAAATGTAGCCATGTTTATAATCCAAGGAGATAAACTCAAAAGCATAAGGACTCTCATATCCTATCTCCTATTTCAGGCAGAAGGGATAACAATAACTCTTGTGTGTAATCTCTACTTTTGCAGGTGAGGAAGGCAGTTCTTCATTTCATCAGGAGGCTGCTCAGTTCAGGAAGCGTGGAGAATTGTGCAGCATGGGATATGGTAGCATATGTTTTCCACGAGTTCACTGTGTCCACCAGCAAACTGGTAAGGAGAGTTCTTAACACTTAGGACTCGGTCCTACCATACTTGCATGCTGATTGCTCCCCTTGCCTTCTGTGGGAGTTTTGACTCAAGGACATGAATGATTAGAGCCAGAATCTGATCAGTTATATTGGTGTAAAGTCAAGGTAACTCCACTGACTTTAGTGGCATTACTCTGGATTTATACTAGTGTAACAGAGATCAGAATCTCACACTGGGTATTTACATCTAACAGAGTTATCTAGGTTACTCAAACCTCTGATGAGACATTGAAAATTCTGAAAACACCATTTTTCAGTGAAATGTTCTTGTACAAGGAAGTACATCTTTTTGTTTTCAATAGACTCTCCAGAGAACATAATAATGCCCAATTCTGTGGCTGTTGAAGCATACATAAACTATTAGCAAAACACCGAGGTTATGCAGGCTGCATCCCAGACTGTCAGGAGCCTGGAAAAGCTTGCTGCATATTTCCCTCACTACATACTCTACTCTACATGTACTAGTTTAAAAATATCTTCAATCCGTATTTCTATCCATGGACACAGCCAGGGGCTCCAGACACTTTGTGCTCCATGACTGGATCCATGATATGTATTAACATAAACAGTTCAACTTTACAGTCAGTTGTTGAAGATCTTAGCTCTGCCTGGCCCCTTTTCTACAAAGTTAGAGCATGTGGGAATACTCCCAAGGGCCTTTTTTTTACACCCACACACACCCCATCTTAAAGAAGGCTGCTTTTTCTCATCGGGCCAGTTTTGCTCTCCTTTAAACTGAAATTATAGAGTCAATCAATATTTAATCCAGTGTAAGTAAGAGCAGAATTAGGCCCATTGATAGAATCACACTCACTACACACAGAATGACCAAGCTGGTTGGGGCATCAGAACAAACAGAGTGGATCCCCCTGGTTCTGCATATTTATTTCCACTGGGCGGAGTCTGAATATTTTTCCTCAGAGATAAAAAGATGAAACAGTTTTTCAAATTTAAAATTTTTTAACACTGTTGGGGAAACTCTTTTGTGTTCAGTGACTCATTCCCTCCACTTTAGGGTTTTCCTAAGCCTGGGATCTGACCCACCAGTTAGGAGTTTCTATTATGCTCTTCCCTTCAGACGTTTGTGCACTTCCGGTGCAATATAAAAGCAGGCATAGGTCAATGTTCAAGATGGCTTTGTAAGAGAAGGACACTGATTCTATAGCCAGTGTCTTGCTACTAGCTCATAAGTTTTATATAGCTATCTCACAGCAGGGTACAACACTTCTCCCCCAGGCTATTGAGGAAGAAAGCACTATCCAAACCCTGTGCATTGACATCCTGCAAGGTCTGGACACCTCAGCCAGTGGAATGACCCAAGTAAGTGACCTGTTGCTACTGCTTCTTGAAATAGGGACGTTCTTCCTTACGTTCCTTGTACCTCTCCACAAGGAAGCTTTTTGCACAGTCAGCATAATGGAGGAACAGCATGTCAAATTCATGTCAGGGATGGTGTGACCCCTTCATCATGGAGTATGTGGTTCACATTAGAGAAAAGATATAAAGCAACTTAACTGGAAGGAATCATGTTGCAGAGATCTTCTCTTAATTCTTTCCACTGTCTGAACCCCCCCTTCTGAAATTTAGATTTGGTGATCCTGGATTTGAACAGATAGTGGGGCTGGGGCTGTGCCTTACATAGGTCTGTAAAGTTCTGGGTGAGTTTATGGTGCTATCTAAATAGCTCCATAATGCTCTAATGCAGGGAAAGAGGATTCACCAAACAAGGCAGTGTATTTAAAAGACAGAGTGCGGGGGCACCGGCCAGGTAGCGTGAGATGATGGGGAGAGAGAGATGAGGTGATAGGTTAGGGAAGGGTCAGTGAGGAATAAAAGGAGAAGCTACATGACTGGGAGGGATTCAGACAGCAGGATACTGGAGGTGGGGGAATGGAAATAGCTGTGTACTGAACAGTCTCGCTCTTCTCTGCAGGTGTTATGGCCAAGGCTTCTGGAGTATGTGGTGCCAGCTCAGTACACTGGTACTTTGAAGCCTCTCTGCAGATGCCTTAGGGAACTGGCTGAGATAAAGCAGCAGGAAGGAGAAGAAGCTGCTTGCCTCGACTACGGTGGAGCAGGTTTATAACAGAAACTCTTTCATTTATTCTCTCCAGGCACACTATGAAATGAACAGGTTCAGTCTGCTCCAGTTCTCTCGTCTGCAATCAGGAGGCTAAAATGAATGAGGGATGGTCTTGTGATTACAACATGGCCATGGGAGGGAGCTAGGAAACGTGGGTTCTGTTCCCAGCTTGCCACCAAAATTCTGATGTGATCTTGGGGGAAATCACTTGATCTTTCTCTCTCAGCTTCCCCACTTGTGAAATGAAGGAGTAATTAATGCCAACCGCATAGAGGTGCTGTGAGGCGGAATTCATTCCTGTTTGTAAAGCATTTTGAGATGCTCAGACTGAAAGCACTATGGAAATGCAAATTATTATCAGCTGTATTCAACATTGGTGGGCAGGTTGGAAATGGACAGGTGAATAACATCAGCAGGACTCTCTGCAAAGCCTGGCATAATTAATGCTATTCTGTTTCTTTCCCTAGTGAAACTCCCTACACCCCAGGGGCTGCTGGCGCGACTCCTGGTGAGTAGACCATGAGAATAGGGTTTCTGCAAAATGTGAAGTGGGACAGTTAACTATAAAAATCGGTTTTATAGCGAGATGCTTATAGACAGGCTGAGGAATGTGTATGATTGGGTCTCTCTCTCTCCGCCCTCTCCTGAGACACACTGTTCTGCATCCTCGTACTAGCTAGAATGCTTGCTTCTTCAGGACGACACTGCCGTAGAAGCAAAAACTCTATTGTATGGTCTCCACAATGAGAGAGTCTGAACTATTCCCTCCTTCAGGAACAAACTGGTGGTGTGCTGACAAAACTTAGCCTGTCCTTTCTCTCTCATTGACAGGTAGTTGCCTCATCCCCTTATGAAAGAGAAGGATGTGGATATGCTGCCTTGCAATTACTTAAGGCCCTGCACGAAACTATCCATGCAGCAGTGGGTGCGATGTGGGTACTAAATATCCCACCTCTGCTGCAGTACATTGAAGGTAAAGTGCTAGTTAGGAGGAGTGCGGTCCATAGAGAATAGAAGGGAAGCCACAAAATGCAGCTTCGTATTGACATGTGTTGTGCCATTCCTGTTGCAGTACATGAGAACAGTGGGGAATTGAAGTTGGGGTTCTGGGCCCTCACTTTTCCTTCACCTGGATAACTGTGAACCACTGGGGTAAATCCAGAGTTGAACCACTCAGGCCAATTCAATCAGGGCAGAATCAGGCCAGGAAGGTTTCAGCTGAATGGAAATTATACAGCAGTTCCCCCCACACCTTTGCTAGGTTATTAGTTGGGAAGGTGAATACCCATGAAGCTGGAGGTTAGTGAAATATTTTGGGGTTACATATATAGTCTGATTTTGCAAACTAAATTTTTCTGAAAATTAAACCCCATGTTTACTTTCAATGGCGATTCAATTAAAAAACCCAGAGTTTTCTTTCTGTAAGGAAACCTGAACCATAAAAGCTAGGTTGGCCAAGTGGGTGCCCTGTGTAGAATCTAGGTATTATGGGCCTAATAATGTCTTTCACCAGTTTTACAGTGGTATGAATCTATTGACCTCCTCAGTCAGTGTAGGCTGCGTCTATACTATGGGGTTATGCCAGCAGAGCTCCAATGATGTAGCTGTGCCAGTGTAGTCTCTGTGGAGTATGACAGACCCTACGTGGAGCACAAACCCGATATGTGTTTGATGAACGTCGGACCCCACAAAGATTTAAGAAATGAGCTGTATCTTCCCTAGTTGTTGTTGCTGTACAGAGTCCCCAGTATTACATTGTGCCGACATTAAAGAAGGGTAGTTAGAGCTGGACATTCAGAAACAGGGCCAGATTCTCAGCTGATGTAAATCAGTATAATTCCATTGACTGCAGTGAAGCTACACCGATTTACATCAAGTTAGGATCAAGTCCAGAATCTCTTATTATGCAGGAAAAGTTTGTATTCACATTAAACCCAGTCTTCTGATGTGCTGAACCGTTTTGTGAGGTGCTCAGCACCCTCAGCTCCCATGAAAGTCAACAGGAATTGGGAGTGCTCAGCATCTGACTCCTGGTGGGTTGACTGACCCTGAATAAAAATGCCAGCAGGGAACATAACATGATACTTTCTGTTGGTCCAACAAAGAACGTTGGCGTCGGTCCCATTTAGCCTTGAAAGCCCAGGTATGTTACAGCTTGGCAGCCCAGGGGTTTTAGAAGGACAGATTGCAAAGATAGGGTGACCAGATGTCCCGATTTTATAGGGATAGTCCCGATTTTGGGGTCTTTTTCTTATATAGACTCCTATTAGCCCCCCACCCCCTGTCCCGATGTTTCACATTTGCTGTCTGGTCACCCTATGCAAAGGAGATACCTGGGACGACGACTCTTCTCGCTAACCTAGGTGATGTTATTGTTTTGCCTCCTGCGTTATAGGAAACACCGAGAATTCCCTGGACCATGAACGGTGGGAGCACATGCTGCTTCAGGTACAAGATGGCTTTCAGCTGTATTGTCACAGCCCTCCCTCCCCCCTCCAAATGTACCAGCTGGGGGAAAAATTAATGATACATTATTCATTATAAGCAGAGCTGGTCAAACCATTTCATTTGCAACTTTTGTTCGGTGAAAAATGGCCTTTTTTATTTTCATGGGACATTTTCAAATTTTTCCTTTTTTACAAAAAACAAAACAACCCCAACCCAAATAGAAAATGTTTCGGTTTTTTTAAACTGAAGTTGATTTTTGGGGTTTTTTTCCTAGTTGCTTTCCTGTTTGTCTCCTCCCCTCTCTGGCTTTTTCAGTCACAAAGTGGAAGAGGGGGAAAAAGGCATGGGGACGAGGGATAAAGGGAAGGAAAGGGGGAAAACAAAGAATTGAATAATGGTCATTTTTGATTTTGAAAAGCAAAATATTTTTGTTTCTTTCACTTTTCATTTGTGTGGTGAAAAATCAAGAAAAATCCCACTTGTTTTGTGAAATGGACTTACTATTGTTCAACCAGCTCTACTTATAAATAACTCTGTATTACCACTGGGAACAACACAAAACTTAACCAGAAAACCAGCATGCTAATGCATCACTGGGGGACATCTAAAGGATTCTTTTTTTCTATTTGCCACTCAAAAGAAAATTTGCTCTGAGAAACCCAAAAAGGAAAAGAGACAAGACAAGGTTTGGTGACTGTATCTCATGGAGAAGCCTTTCTGGTCAGAAAGAGCTCTTTGCAGCCTCATGGATAGACAAAGAACATTTTTATGGCGAGCGCTGAAAATGAAAGGAAAGGACCTAGTGACAAATAAGCCCCAGAAGGTTTGGAGTTCCATTTGGGGTTGGATTACACTCTAGAATTTCCCATTCCAGATCCAGCCTCATTTGAAATTCTTTGGGCTAAAAAATCAAAGAAGATTAGGCTCTCTTGTGAGGTTTCTGATATTTCCTGGCTGTTGTTCAAAATTCGGGCCTGAAACAGCAAAGTGCTGAGAGTTACTAACCTCTCGCTGACTTCAATGGGAGTTGAGAATGTGACCCCGGGTCCTTTGGGTGCCCAGTGGCAGAGGCCACAGGAGTGCATAGGATTATCAGGATTCCCTGGATCTGATCTCTATATAATCAAAGGGTGTCATGTAAAGACTTTACTGGATACCTGTGCCACACGGATCATCATAATCATTGCACAGTGACTGGATGGATAATATATAAGGCGTTATGGTTGTATACTGAAATTTATGCTTTTAAGGTCTGTGAGTTGGGGCTGGTCACCAGAAAGTGATCAACAAGTTTCTTTCAGGCAGGAGATGCTTATCTGCCTGAATGGCTGTATGTAGATGAGTAATTCTTCACAGTGGATGCTAATCAATAGAGCAACATTCTAATCAAGTGATTGCAAAGTCTCCAGAGGAGATTCGATACAAGGAAAACAAACAAACAATAGGGGGTACCCTGTTTACAAGTGAAGACAATGGATGCTTGGAACTATATCTGGAGGTCCAGAGGTATCCTGCATCAGGTATCCTTCACCTATTGGACGAACTGCCAGCTGGCTTGTCTCATGAATGGAGGATCACATTTGGTCTGGGTGTTTCATGCTGGGAGAGAGATTTGGGGGAGCTATCCTTTGTGAGACAGGGGAATGTTTGGTTATCTAAGTTTAAGCTCTAGAAGTGTGTTATGATTTTATTTTTATGTAACCATTTGTTTACATTAATTTTACTTGCTGCTTCTCAAATCTCTGATCTTTGTGAATTAAACTCTACTTGTTTTCACTATAAACGTATCTAAGTGAAGTATAGTTGTTTTCACTCTAAACATATCTAAGTGTGTTAAATGGAGCGGTGATGCTGAGGTGACACCGGTGACATGGTGTGTAGCAAACCTATGAATTCTGTGAGTGTCCAGTGGAACAGGGGCTGGACATTCTGCGGCTGCACAGAGGGCTCGGCGGTTGGAGTGTACCGATTGCTTATCTGTAGAAGGACAGTGGAGCTGGATGGGGTGAGAAGGGTGTGCTTGTGTTTCCTGTGGCTGGCAGAGTCAGGAGCTGACACCTGGCAGGCACAGAGAAGGCTTCCTCCTGCTAAGGGCAGGTGGTAGTGAGGTACCTCACAATCCTGGGGACCCTCGGGAGGTGGCATAAAGGGTCCACAGCACTTCAGAGAAGGTTCCTGGTCCTTCGTAGTCCAGGGCCCTTTGTTCAAAATTTATTAGACCTATTCTCCATCCACTATAAAATCACTCCTCAATGGTCAGACTTCTTGGCTCCATCTCATTCTCCAATTCACTGTCCATCTGGGTTTGGAGACTGAGAGGAATCATCAGGCAAAGGTTAAAGAACAACAGGCAGAGGAAGTCTGGGTTGTTGATGTTTATAGTTCTCAATAGGGAAATAATCTTCCCATGACACCTGAATATTGGAAAGTTTACAATAGAGAACAAGGAAGAAAAAAACCACCAAACAAACAAACCAACCCCACAACAACCCCCAAATTCTTGCAATTAACCATCTGCTTTACCTCTTGTTTTACACTCAGTTCCTAAGAACATCTCTGGAGATGATAGGCGACAGTGCCTGGAGCAGCCAGATAAGCCTTGAGTTGAGCCAGCAGATGGCCGCCTATGCCAGCCCCTCCAAAGAGAAGGTTTGTTATCTGTTAAGGCTTAGTTTCTAGTTAATTTCCCTTGAAATTCTGATTGGGGGGCTGCATAAGGCTTCTCTCAAGGCTTCATTACTTTATATTTTATTCTGCATATAAAATTTGTTTTTACTTGTTCCCTGCTCTCTTGCCCCCCGCCCGCCCTTCCAATATTTGCTTGGACAGGCTGCTTGTCTGTACTGCATTGTTGGTTCTCTGGCTGGGCTAGATGATGGGATGTTTCTGCAGTATGGGTGCTTGGACTTGGCTATCTTGTTCCTTCCTGAGTGTTGCTGAGCTGGGTCTGTACTGACAGGCACGTTGTGTTACTGATATCTCAGTGCTGGTCTCTTTCTTTCAGAGTTTCCTGTATAAGGCGCTAGGAATGTCCTTAGCAGTTTGTCAGGACCTGGTCCACGTTAAATCACAGATTAATACATTTCTGACAACAACAAATTATATGGAAGACCCTGAGAGAGAGGTGAGGACTCTGTCCCTCTCCCCACTTTACCAAGTAATCCCTGAATGCTCCCTGTGGGGCTCAGCTCTGAGTTGGCCTGGGACAGATGCCATTTTGCTTCATATCCTCTTCATTGCTATTTCACTCAGCCCCCGCTGCCCATGTGTCTCAGGCCTCACTGGCACTTTACACCACTTCAGGTGAAAGGAATGGAGTCGTGGGGTCTATCAGGCACCTGGTTAGATCCTAACCAGTATTTTTCTTGGGTGACAGGGAGTCATTTCCATCTTCGCATTCTCTGCTGAGAGCCACTTGGACCTCACCTTGAACGCACTTCAGGAGTTTGGGGCTGCAATGAGCAAGGTTAAGATTTCTGGGCTCATGGACCGTCTGAAGGTAAAGGAGCCAGGGACTTCTCTCAAACTTTCTCTCCCTCTAAATCAGGGGCAGCAACCCTGCGGTAGTGTCTGCTCTGGTCAGCTAGCATTGTCCCCCAATGTATGCGTTCTGCATGATGCCTGCAGTTAAGCAGAGAGTAGCACAATCTGGAGCTGGGGTTCTCTCAAATGATTTTTATCGTCTGATGTCTCATGGCTTGAGCGCCCCTCCCATGCACAATGTGTGGGAACTACATCAGTTGCTTGCATGGAAAAGCATTTAAGGTATTTTTAGATGTTTTTTAATCCCGGTTAGTAGCTGGAAATGAGGAGGTGTTGCAAGCAACATATGGCTAACCAACCTGCTGTAGGTAGACCACCAGTGGTCTACGGATGACAATTATGGAACCTCTGATTTAGAGCAGTGGTTCTCAACCTTTCCAGATTAGTGTACCCCTTTCAGGAGTCTGATTTGTCTTGTGTACCCCAAATTTCACCTCACTTAAAAACTGCTTGCTTACAAAATCAGGCATAAAATTATTAAAAAGTGTCACAGCACATTATTACTGAAAAATTGCTTATTTTCTCATTTTTACCATATAATTATAAAATAAATCAACTGGAATATAAATGTTGTACTTGTATTTCAGTGTGTAGTATATAGAGTAGTATAAAGAAGCCATTGTATGAAATTTTAATTAGTAACTTTGCAAGTGCTTGCTTTGTAGTCTGCTGTAAAACTAGGCAAATATCTAGATGAGTTGATATACCCCCTGGAAGACCTCTGCAGACCCTCAGGGGTACACAAGTACCCCTGGTTGAAAACCACTGATCTAGAGGATAGAGCAGGAGACTAGGCCTCTGGGCTTCCATTGCTGGCTCTGCATTTACTCACTGTGCAGCCTTAGGCAAGACATTTAGCGCCTGATCTTGTACCCACCAGTGTCAACGACTAAGCTCCCGTGTACTTCACTGCTGTAGGTTCAGCATTTTAGGCTCTCTGTGTCAGAGTGACCCGTGGGAATGATGGAGATACTAATAACTCCCTACCTCACACAGTTATTATATTGCTTAAATACTGTTTGCAAGTGGTTTGAGATCTTTGGCTGAAAAGAGCTTTGCAAGTGCAAACTGCCATTGCTGCTGTGAGCAATTCCTCGGTCAGCAGCAGATCAGAATTCCAAGGCAAAACGAATCAGAAGAACTTGTCTCTAGTGACGTTTCCGATTGTCTAGGACTACCACCATGGGAAAAGAGGCAAGACTCGCAGCACCCTGATGCTGACATACAGCAACGTGGCTGTCCATGCTCCAAAAGAGCAGCTTCTCTCCCGAGTAGAGGCAGACATCACAGGGAACATCCTTCACCATTACAGAGCCAGTTGTCGGGTAAGAGCTTTTGTGTGATAAGTGTTAGGGGCATTACCCTGAAGTTATAACATTGCCTCTGAGTTTATAGAGAGAGGGCATGTATTTTCTAAAACTCTCCTTTGAGCAATAATTTGTCACAACTCAAATCTAAAACTGTAATGGATGGAGCATGAGCTGTCACATGTATCATTTTTGTTGCTCTTCTTTGTATTTTCTCTAGTTTCTCTATGTTCTTCTGAAATTCTGTAGACCACAGCTACACAGTAATCCAGATGCATTCAGACTCAGGCTATTCAGAGTAACACTCTAACTCCCCTAATATGTATGTGTATCTAGCGCTATCTTTCGCTACCCAAGAGAGAATAGTGCTAGCTTGTATTTAGTTGATTTGCTGTCACTCTGTTTCTTGGACGCACTACTTCCCTTACCTCTTATCTGTCTTCTTGTTTGTCTGTGTGCTCCTTATTTCTGTTCCCTAGGTGTCTGACTGCTGGCACTGACTCTCATCTCAGAGCAACCTCTCCACGTCACTTTGCCATTCAATTCTGCCCTGTCTGACTGAGACTCTCACTTAGGCATTGTCAAAAACAGTTGAACCAAACTGAGATCTTCCAGTAGTTCACAAATGCAAATATTACATAGGATGGCCCCTGATATTGACCTCTACAAAACACCCCCTCTGGATACATTTCCTGCCTTTTGGAAGATTTAACAATAGTGATTTCTCTCTGCTCCATATTCACCAGCCAGGACATTTTGAGGATGTGCGTTATGTGGGACTATGTACATTGCTAAGAGCTGTTTTGCATTTTGTTTTTCAGGTGCTGGGCATCACTGTTGCGAACAAGGTAAATTCTAAATAATCTGCCCTCAGCTCTTGCATTTTCTGTACACAAGTTGCTTGTTTAAATTGCACAGAGCTTGATTTCCTTGCTACATCAAGCAAGAGTCCTGGCTGCTCTGGTGTAAGTGGACCTGGATTTATTTGATGAACCTGGGTTTTCTTTTCTTCTGAGGTGGGTGCAGAGCCGGGGTCCTCTGCCTTCTGGGGTCTGTGGACACCTCTATCCTCTCCTGAGGCTAGATTTAATTCCTGATCTTTATCTTCTGGACTCTGGTTCTTCTCTCAGTTTCTCATCCACATCCTCTTGTTTCTCCTTCTGGATTATGTAGGACATGTACCTAAAATTAACCCTCATCCAGAATGTCACGGAGATTAGCTGTGCCATCTTGGAGACCAGAGACGCCCGGGAGTTCGAATTCTCTTACAAACAGGAGCTCCTTGGCTACATGCTGGTGAGTGATTAGGAGCTTTGAGGACTGAAGTACAAAGGAGTTTGTTGTAATGCAATAAGACTGGTTTTCCAGGGAGATGTTATTTTATCCATTGGCTGTGACTGTACTACTGCAGTCTCATGAGCTACCTGCATGGCACCCCGAATGCTGGGTCCACTTTGAGCTCGGCAGGGATGCTGACATATTGTGGGCTGTAACTGGAAGAAATGGCTTCTGTCTGGTGAGTTATCTTTTTGTCCTCCGTATAACCTGCAGATGGCCCTACGGTCCATTTCAGAGGCAGAGAGCCTGCTGAGCCCGGTGTCTGTTTATTACAGGTCTGGCATATGGCCCTATTTCAGGGTGTGAGAGGAAGACCTCTCTGCCTTTCAAATCCATTTCCCATTTTTTATGTCCCTATTAATGCATTTCAGGACTTCATTAAAAAGGAACCACTGGATTCCCTGGCATCTCCAGTTCGCTACAAGGCAATTCTTGCCATTGAACATCTGAGGTAGGCTATTTTCTGCCATGTTTCCTGGCACTGTGATGACTTCTTATTTGTTAATTCATGAGTGTCAGGTTGGGAGCAGTCTGATGCCTGCAGGGTTTGGCTCACATGCTGCTCACCAGCAGAACTTTCGTTCTTGAGGGTTTGAATGTGTCCATTTGGAGGTTTGTGCTTGAAAGACACAAGATTGGAGGTTGAGGGGCATGCAGTACAATGGAGGAGAGTTCAGATGGGGAGGGAGGTGTCTGGCTAGCTGGCAGGGGGAAGGAAGCTTGTGGGTTTCTCTAAAAAATGGGACTTGAAGCTTTAGCTTTACTTCTAGATGAGCCAATATTTAATAGAGGTGCAAAGAGGTGCTCAGCTGCAAAGTGAAGGGTTGTTTGCATTTGGGGTTCTAGACTGGGGCAATCTCTAGTCATTGGACCCATTTCTTGTACTTGGAGGTGGTACTGAGTCTAATGCATGACTTTTCTCCCTATCTTTCTTCTGCCAGCAAACTCAAACCATCTTTGACCTTGGAGGGAAACCGTGAGCTCCTTGATGAGTGTTGTAAAAGTTTATTTCCCCTTCCTCCCTTGGAGAAGATGAAAGAGGAAGGTGAGACAGCAAAGGATACTCTGCATAGACTGGTACGTGACAACAATTCTCCTCTGGCACCATCCACTGTATTTCTGCCCAGCAGGCACTGGGTGATGGCAGTCACACATGGCCTCCCTGGCAAGGTTATGGTTAGCTTTCCCCGGCGCCCACACACAAATGATCTGTGCTGAGCCTCACTCCTTCTCTTCTGGTTTCAGTCACTGTACATGAGGTCCTTGGAAGCCCTTGGCAAGCTAATGAAGACTTTGCTGGAGGAAGAACCAACCGCAGACTGGTTCCAGGAAATGTTTGAAGTGAGTAGACCATTGAACCGCGGTGGAGATTGTTTCTTGTGTTACAGCAGGGAAGAGTCAGAGATTTAGGGGGTCAAGCTTCAGTTGTGGAGGAATTTTCCACAACGGAGTGAATTTTAGGGAGAAAGCACTACATTCTTCCTTGTGATAAGTGGGCATGTGCCCCATTGAAATCCACGGAAGCTATGCCATTTTATGCCAGAGCTGGATTGGGATCAAGTTCTTACAATGGAGTTGACACTACTTGGACCGGCAAGAAAATCACCACTGCAGTAGCCAAATCCAAGAGAACCAGTTGAAACTGATCACTTCTTCTAAGAGGAATTCATTACTATTGAGTTAAGCCCTGTGTATGGAAACTCATTCAGAGGAGACTTCCTGTTCCTCAGACATGAACAGAATATCTTGAAGAGCTGAGGGGTGGGGAGTTTGATGCACCTTCAGTATAAAAATGAAGTTATAAAAGGCGGGGGGGACTTCTCTGCTCTTATTCAAATTAATAAAAAGAAATGCTCCTCTCTGTCATTTTGCCACTCGACGTGGGAGAAGTTGCCCAGGAAACAGACCACAGCAGCAGACATCAAACAGCATGCAATGTGCTAGACAGCTCCCATCAGACAGTCTACAGCAGACATCACATACACGGGCCCAGATTCATCTCTCATGTAACTCCTTTGGCTTCAATCACCAGAGGTGAATCTGGTCCCTGGGACTTGTATATCTAAGGGGCTCTTCCATTAGACATGTAATTCCTTTGCTACACCGAGATCAGATGCTTTGGAGAGGGATTTTAGTGACAATTAAACCTGTTTAAGAGGAACTTTTGGGAGGGATTTTCTGGTACTAACTCTGTCCATTCCCCTGCTCTACCAACAGCTACTAAGGCCATGGGTCAGTTCAGGGAAGGAGTGGGAGAGAGAAAGGGCCTTGCAGGCCAGCACCCAACTGCTGACTGCCTATCAAGAGACAGTTAATAGCACAGTGAGTATAGCCTCTTACTCTTCCTTGAGCGACTTCCCTGCTTATATCTGATCTGACACTCAACGCAAATGCATGAAAAACTCTTCCAGGGCAGCAGCTGGGATCTCAAGGCGACTAAGATCCCTCTGCTTCCAGAAGAGAGGTTTACACAACAATGCCGTGACCACACTCCGGGCAGACTGCAAAAAGTAGAGGGCAGCCAATCCCCCAAACTGATGGCTTATTCTATAATTAGATTCACCAAGTCAACAACAAAAGAGCTTCCACCCTAGTTAACAAGATGCCAAATGCAGCCCCCTTTTGGCATTCCAGACCTTGGCTCCCATCTAAACATCTTGGAAGCGGGGGGAGGGATAGCTCAGTGGTTTGAGCATTGGCCTGCTAAACCCAGGGTTGTGAGTTCATAGAATCATAGAATATCAGGGTTGGAAGGGACCTCAGGAGGTTATCTAGTCCAACCCCCTGCTCAAAGCAGGACCAATTCCCAACTAAATCATCCCAGCCAGGGCTTTGTCACGCCGGGCCTTAAAAACCTCCAAAGAAGGAGACTCCACCACCTCCCTAGGTAACGCATTCCAGTGCTTCACCACCCTCCTAGTGAAAAAGTTTTTCCTAATATCCAACCTAGACCTCCCCCACTGCAACTTGAGACCATTGCTCCTTGTTCTGTCATCTGCCACCACTGAGAACAGCCGAGCTCCATCCTCCCTGGAACCCCCCCTCAGGTAGTTGAAAGCAGCTATCAAATCCCCCCTCATTCTTCTCTTCTGGAGACTAAACCATCCCAGTTCCCTCAGCCTCTCCTCATAAGTCATGTGCTCCAGACCCCTAATCATTTTTGTTGCCCTCCGCTGGACTCTTTCCAATTTTTCCACATCCTTCTTGTAGTGTGGGTCCCAAAACTGGACACAGTATTCCAGATGAGGCCTCACCAATGTCGAATAAAGGGGAACGATCACGTTCCTCGATCTGCTGGCAATGCCCCTACTTATACAGCCCAAAATGCCATTAGCCTTCTTAGCAACAAAAGCACACTGTTGACTCATATCCAGCTTCTCGTCCACTGTGACCCCTAGGTCCTTTTCTGCAGAACTGCTACTCAGCCATTCGGTCCCTAGTCTGTAGCAGTGCATGAGATTCTTCCGTCCTAAGTGCAGGACTCTGCACTTGTCCTTGTTAAACCTCATCAGGTTTTTTTTGGCCCAATCCTCTAATTTGTCTAGGTCCCTCTGTATCCGATCCCTACCCTCTAGTGTATCTACCACGCCTCCCAGTTTAGTGTCATCTGCAAACTTGCTGAGAGTGCAGTCCACACCATCCTCCAGATCATTAATAAAGATATTAAACAAAACCGTCCCCAGGACCGACCCTTGGGGCACTCTGCTTGAAACCGGCTGCCAACTAGACATGGAGCCATTGATCACTACCTGTTGAGCCCGATGATCTAGCCAGCTTTCTATCCACTTTACAGTCCATTCATCCAGCCCATACTTCTTTAACTTGGCAGCAAGAATACTGTGGGAGACCGTATCAAAAGCTTTGCTAAAGTCAAGGAATAACACATCCACTGCTTTCCCCTCATCCACAGAGTCAGTTATCTCCTCATAGAAGGCAATTAGGTTAGTCAGGCATGACTTGCCCTTGGTGAATCCATGCTGACTGTTCCTGATCACTTTCCTCTCCTCTAAGTGTTTCAGAATTGATTCTTTGAGGACCTGCTCCATGATTTTTCCAGGGACTGAGGTGAGGCTGACTGGCCTGTAGTTCCCCGGATCCTCCTTCTTTCCTTTTTTAAAGATGGGCACTACATTAGCCTTTTTCCAGTCATTTGGGACCTCCCCCGATCGCCATGAGTTTTCAAAAATAATGGCTAATGGCTCTGCAATCTCATCCGCCAACTCCTTTAGCACCCTCGGATGCAGCGCATCCGGCCCCATGGACTTGTGCTCGTCCAGTTTTTCTAAATAGTCCCGAACCACTTCTTTCTCCACAGAAGGCTGGTCACCTTCTCCCCATACTGTGCTGCCCTGTGCAGCAGTCTGGGAGCTGACCTTGTTCGTGAAGACAGAGGCAAAAAAATCATTGAGTACATTAGTTTTTTCCACATCCTCTGTCACTAGGTTGCCTCCCTCATTCAGTAAGGGGCCCACACTTTCCTTGACTTTCTTCTTGTTGCTAACATACCTGAAGAAACCCTTCTTGTCACTCTTAACATCTCTTGTTCAATCCTTGAGGAGGCCATTTAGGGAAGTGGGGTAAAAATCTGTCTGGGGATTGGTCCTGCTTTGAGCAGGGGGTTGGACTACATGACCTCCTCAGGTCCCTTCCAACCCTGATATTCTATATCTAATATAGTGAGGGGTTACTGAAAACCTGATTCACATATGTGAGGTTCATTGATCATAAAGGACCAGATGCTTATCCCCAGGTCAATGTGAATCTCAGGTCTTTCCCAAATATGTTGTCAGCCAGTCCTTAATAACTAAATCTAAGATTTATTGTTAAAAGAAAGAAGAGAGTTACAAATGGTTAAAAGATCAATATCCATACAAGTGACTTTCAGTGTTCATAGTTCAGGATCACAACAGTGATGGAATAAACTGCTGGTTTGTAAAAGTCTCTCTGGAATCATCCCAACAGATCAGAATCCAAAGGCAGCTTAGAGGTAAAGTCTGTTAGTTTTTTCCATGCATTTTCCAGGTTATTCCAAATGATTATTTGGAAAATCTCTGTCCTATGACTTACACTTTCCCTGTTCAAAGTTTAAGCAGACTAGAGATGATAGGATCAGGCCCGAGCCTTCTCTTTTATAGCTATTCTAGCAGGCTGACAAGCCTACCTCACAGAAATTGTCACAGAAGGACCTTCCCCCAATGCAGATCACCTGTTGTACTTTGCTTTGAAGATAATCTTCTATTTCCTGTGAATACACAGTAAACTAGTTACATTCATTCACATAAGGTAATTAGCCGTTCTTCCATTATAACACAGATAGTTAAGCTGAAGATAATGTAGAAATTATTGGTTTCCTGAAGTGTCTTACATCTTTGATTTTCAGGTTAACTGAAGACCTTGCATACATAATTAAGGCAATTAAGATATGAAAGGGAATTAGCATCTACAAGCTAATTTGGTTACATTGTGAAACTTCTAACCGGGTATAGATAAACACAGACAAATACACTTAGCAACTAGTGTTCATTTTTGAATGAGTTGCTGATTGCTAGTCTAATACATCTCTTTGAAATTCACATGCAAGTGAACTGTCTATTTCCTCATGTTGAAATATGTTAAAATATCCTCACACCTTCTATGGGTCATCTCGATTATCACTTCAAAGGTTTTTTTTCTCTCTCCTGCTGATGATAGCTCATCTCAATTGATTGGCCTCTTACAGTTGGTATGGCTACTCCCACCTCTTCATGTTCTCTGTATGTATAAATATCTTCTTTCTGTGTGTTCCATTCTATGCATCTGATGAAGTAGGCTGTAGTCTACGAAAGCTTATGCTCAAATAAATTCGTTAGTCTCTAAGGTGCCATAAGTACTCCTGTCCTTTTTGCGGATACAGACTAACACGGCTGCTACTCTGAAACCTGTCTTGATACAGTAGAAGCGCCTCTTGTTAAGTTATTATGGGTCATACACAGGTTGACTGGTCTGCCAGTGTCACAAATGCATTCTTGGTTCTTATGCTCCCAGGATGCTAAAGCTGAATTTCTATTTAATCAGCTAAGAACATAAAACATAAGAGTGGTTATCCTGGATCCCCCAGAAGAATGGTTCATCTAGCCCAGTATCCCGTCTTCTGACAGTGGTGGGTGCCAGATGCTTCAGAGGGAATGAACAGAACAAGGCAATTGTCAAGTGAACCATCCCCTGTTGGACAGTCCCAGCCCCAGCTTCTGGCAGTCAGAGGCTTAGGGACACCCAGATCATGGGGTTGCATCCCTGACCATGTTAGCTAATAGCCATTGATGGACCTATCCTCCGTGAACTCATCTAATTCTTTTTTGAACCCAGTTATACTTTTGGCCTTCACAACATCTCCCTGGCAATTTCACAGGTTGACTGCATTGTGTGAAGAAATGCTTCCTTTTGTTTGTTTTAAACCTGCAGCCTATTAATTTCATTGGGTGACCCCTTGATTCTGTGTTATGTGAAGGGCTAAATAACACTTCCTTAATGACTTTCTCTACACCAGTCATGATTTTATAGTTCTCTATCATATTCCCTCTTAGTTGTCTCTTTTCCAAGCTGAAAAGTCCCTGTCTTTTTAATCTCTCCTTGTACGAGAAGTTGTCCCATACGCCTAATAATTTTTGTTGCTCTTCTCTGTATTTCTTCCAATTCTAACATATCTTTTTTTGAGATGAGATGACCAAAACTGCACGCAGTATTCAAGAAAAAATAACAGGAGTACTTGTGGCACCTTAGAGACTAACAAATTTATTAGAGCATAAGCTTTCGTGGGCTACAACCCACTTCTTCGGATGCATATTCAAGGTGTGGGGATACTGTAGATTTATACAGTGGCATAATGATATTTACTGTCTTATTATCGATCCCTTTCCTAATGGTTCCTAACATGCTGTTAGCGTTTTTGACTGCATGTTGAGCAGATGCTTTCAGAGAACTGTACACAATGACTCTGAGGTCTCTTTCTTGAGTGATAACAGCTAATTTAGACCCCATCCGCTTGTATGTACAATTGGGATTATGTTTTCCAATGTGCATTACCCAGTTCAGTACAGGAATCAGAGGCACAATGTTACCAGATGTGCCCGTTACTTTGGGTAGGCTCATTGATTAGGGTTACTCTTCTGGGGGGGGGGGGGTTCTGTAATTTTATTAATGTGGGGCTTATGTCACTTGTGTGTTCATATGGAGCTCTACTCCTTCCTTCTACAAGTCCCCTCCCAATGGAGCTACCCTGCAGGACCTAGGTTCCCCAGGGCTAATAACTAGAACTAGATGAACATGCGCACGCACGCACACACACACTAGCAGAGCAAGTCAATCAGCACTCCCCAGCTGATCCCCTCATATGTCCCTGTACTCATTGGGTTGGGTTAAGCAGCACTTTCAGCTGCCCCCCCCTTATGTGCCCCAAGTTTAACACATCCCTATCACACTTTCACATTACAATTGTACTGGGAGTAACACACTTGATGCGCAAACCCCACCGTATTTTTGGGCACTACAGGGATCTTTAGCTTAGGTGCAAGAAGCGTTGCTGCAGAGTAAATGGGGGAAGCTAAAAACACAAAAGAGTAAAATTCAGAGAGAGAGAAGCAACCAGCTGAACAATAAGTTATTTATTGAATAATAGTGATAACTACACAAGGAGGGCTAAACAAACATAACCGTTACATTTTAAAGGTTCAGGGGGTAGCCGTGTTAGTCTGTATCTACAAAAACAACAAGGAGTCTGGTGGCACCTTAAAGACTAACAGATTTATTTGGGCATAAGCTTTCGTGGGTAAAAACCTCACTTCTTCGGATGCATAGAGTGAAAGTATGCATCCGAAGAAGTGAGGTTTTT